CATGAATCCTCTCTGCTCTGGTCTGGACCAGTGTAAAACCATGAATCCTCTCTGCTCTGGTCTGGACCAGTGTGAAACCATGAATCCTCTCTGCTCTGGTCTGGACCAGTGTAAAACCATGAATCCTCTCTGCTCTGGTCTGGACCAGTGTAAAACCATGAATCCTCTCTGCTCTGGTCTGGACCAGTGTAAAACCATGAATCCTCTCTGCTCTGGTCTGGACCAGTGTAAAACCATGAATCCTCTCTGCTCTGGTCTGGACCAGTGTAAAACCATGAATCCTCTCTGCTCTGGTCTGGACCAGTGTAAAACCATGAATCCTCTCTGCTCTGGTCTGGACCAGTGTAAAACCATGAATCCTCTCTGCTCTGGTCTGGACCAGTGTAAAACCATGAATCCTCTCTGCTCTGGTCTGGACCAGTGTAAAACCATGAATCCTCTCTGCTCTGGTCTGGACCAGTGTAAAACCATGAATCCTCTCTGCTCTGGTCTGGACCAGTGTAAAACCATGAATCCTCTCTGCTCTGGTCTGGACCAGTGTAAAACCATGAATCCTCTCTGCTCTGGTCTGGACCAGTGTAAAACCATGAATCCTCTCTGCTCTGGTCTGGACCAGTGTAAAACCATGAATCCTCTCTGCTCTGGTCTGGACCAGTGTAAAACCATGAATCCTCTCTCTGCTCTGGTCTGGACCAGTGTAAAACCATGAATCCTCTCTGCTCTGGTCTGGACCAGTGTAAAACCATGAATCCTCTCTGCTCTGGTCTGGACCAGTGTAAAACCATGAATCCTCTCTGCTCTGGTCTGGACCAGTGTAAAACCATGAATCCTCTCTGCTCTGGTCTGGACCAGTGTAAAACCATGAATCCTCTCTGCTCTGGTCCGGACCAGTGTAAAACCATGAATCCTCTCTGCTCTGGCTTGGACCAGTGTAAAACCATGAATCCTCTCTGCTCTGGTCTGGACCAGTGTAAAACCATGAATCCTCTCTGCTCTGGTCTGGACCAGTGTAAAACCATGAATCCTCTCTGCTCTGGTCTGGACCAGTGTAAAACCATGAATCCTCTCTGCTCTGGTCTGGACCAGTGTAAAACCATGAATCCTCTCTGCTCTGGTCTGGACCAGTGTAAAACCATGAATCCTCTCTGCTCTGGTCTGGACCAGTGTAAAACCATGAATCCTCTCTGCTCTGGTCTGGACCAGTGTGAAACCATGAATCCTCTCTGCTCTGGTCTGGACCAGTGTAAAACCATGAATCCTCTCTGCTCTGGTCTGGACCAGTGTGAAACCATGAATCCTCTCTGCTCTGGTCTGGACCAGTGTAAAACCATGAATCCTCTCTGCTCTGGTCTGGACCAGTGTAAAACCATGAATCCTCTCTGCTCTGGTCTGGACCAGTGTAAAACCATGAACACTGAACTGCAGCAACATCTCAGGCAGAAAAAAGAAAGAAAAATAACAATTGTAAAACACAAACAACAAATGTTTCAGAGACTCTCAGGACTTGCTGCAGTTTCCAGAACATTCTAAAGAAGCAGGTAACGCCAACCAACCGTGGAGAGTCGAGTCGGTGGAAACAGCCTTAATATAACCAAGAGTTCATGACTTAACACTTAGGGAACAGTATAGACGTAAAGAAACAGGGAAATGAAAGTGTTCTTGGATGAATATGTTGAGTCTGATATTCACTGATCCAAAGTCAGTTTTTCTCTACTCAGACCTCATTATTTCCCATCGCGCTGACAGCAGCATTCAGAGGCCACCAATGAGCCGCATTAGCTTCTTTAATAAACAGTAGTGCTACATCAGTGGTTTCGCTGCGTTCGAGCCGACCAAACGGCCCACACAGGTGTCTCCGGACCAGGATCTAGACTCTTTTCTGGACCTCCGGGTTTAAGTCAACTCCCAGGACTCCGTAATTATCCTGGTTTATTAAGAGAAACCAGCCGAGAATTACAAGCAGCAGAAGCAGTTTGTTCGGTCATTACTGAAGCTGTGTGTGTGTGTGTGTGTCTGTGTGTGTGTGTGCGTGTGTGTGTGTGTGTTGTGGTGTGTGTGTGTCTGTGTGTGTGTGGTGTGTGTGTGTGTGTGTGTGTGGTGTGGTGTGTGTCTGTGTGTGTGTGTGGTGTGGTGTGTGTCTGTGTGTGTTGTGGTGTGTGTGTGTCTGTGTGTGTTGTGGTGTGTGTGTGTGCGTGTGTGTTGTGTTGTGTTGTGTGTGTGTGTGCTTGCCGAGGCAGCTCTAATCACATAAACATGTCTCAATGGAGATGTTAGAAAACTTTAAACGTGGAAAGTATTGTTCTGCGTCAGGATCAAAGACCAATTACGACTTTTCAACATTAAAGTGATTGTCTGGAGTTTGTCAGAAAGAGACAGAGAGGTGCTTGATTTGAAAAAAACGACTCAAGCTCCCTCCCCCTTCCTTTCTGATTGGTCCACACCTACGTTTCCGTAACACTTTGAAATGTTAATCAGAGAACATATTATTCATATACATTATTAATACACATGCACGGAGGTTTTCAGAATTATTTGTGAACGTTTTAATGAAAAAATAATGTTTTTATGCACAAAAAAAGCGATCGCGGCAAACCAGGAAGTGCTATTATTATGAATTGCACATTAAAGGACACATCTGCAGAGGATCTGATTATAGATATAGGTTCAGTATATAAATGATTATGGATATAGGTACCTCATAAGTAACTCAGCGTGGATGTTCAGAATTCTTTGTTCAGTTTTCATGTAGTTCCAGAGCCTAATAGAGGCTTGATTCGGAGGCTCCGCGAAAACAAACAACTGAGCATGAGCAGCTGCGAGCATCAGCGCCGATGATTGACAGCCCTTGGCATGACTCGATTGGTTAACCTCGACGGCACCGTGGATTCTGAACTATAGCTAAGAGCAGGGAAGGCGGGACTTGCCCGTAATATTAGAATTAATAAAATGACTTATTTTATATCAACATTTAAGGCCAGGAGGTCAATTTAACACATTTACTAAAATGTGTTATTCATTTAGAGTTACAGACTATCACTTTAATAGTTTTAACATGGATCGTGACTTCATGACTTCACCCAGAGCTTTACTTTTACTTGAGCTCACAGTGGGGAAATTCCAGTGTTGCATCACCAGTGACAGAACAGTAGGAATAAGGAGATACGTTCTGACATTAGTTTCAATTGTTGCTCGTTGTACAGTCTGACAGCAGCAGGAGGAGAGACCTACGGAACCTCTCCTTCACACGGTGAGGGTGTATCAGTCTGTCACTGAAGCTGCTCTCCAGGGCAGACCTGTAGAGTGTCCTGCAGGGGGCGACAGTCAAGGTGCAGCAGATGTTAGTTTGTCTGGGGTCTTACAGGGAATTTCCACAGTAGTCGTTAACAGCGCGTACGCGTTGACTGAGCACATCTGTGCGTAACATTACTCGGCTGTTTCTACAAAGGCCGTGCGCAGGTCCTTCTGATGTCCCTGTGTAGAGGAGTGTAGTCTGTGGAGCAGTGTAGAGGACAGTACAGAGACTGATGCTGTCCCTGTGTAGTCTGTGGAGCAGTGTAGAGGACAGTACAGAGACTGATGCTGTCCCTGTGTAGTCTGTGGAGCAGTGTAGAGGACAGTACAGAGACTGATGCTGTCCCTGTGTAGTCTGTGGAGCAGTGTAGAGGACAGTACAGAGACTGATGCTGTCCCTGTGTAGTCTATGGAGCAGTGTAGAGGACAGTACAGAGACTGATGCTGTCCCTGTGTAGTCTATGGAGCAGTGTAGAGGACAGTACAGAGACTGATGCTGTCCCTGTGTAGTCTGTGGAGCAGTGTAGAGGACAGTACAGAGACTGATGCTGTCCCTGTGTAGTCTATGGAGCAGTGTAGAGGACAGTACAGAGACTGATGCTGTCCCTGTGTAGTCTATGGAGCAGTGCAGAGGACAGTACAGAGACTGATGCTGTCCCTGTGTAGTCTGTGGAGCAGTGTAGAGGACAGTACAGAGACTGATGCTGTCCCTGTGTAGTCTGTGGAGCAGCGTAGAGGACAGTACAGAGACTGATGCTGTCCCTGTGTAGTCTATGGAGCAGTGTAGAGGACAGTACAGAGACTGATGCTGTCCCTGTGTAGTCTGTGGAGCAGTGTAGAGGACAGTACAGAGACTGATGCTGTCCCTGTGTAGTCTATGGAGCAGTGTAGAGGACAGTACAGAGACTGATGCTGTCCCTGTGTGGTCTATGGAGCAGTGTAGAGGACAGTACAGAGACTGATGCTGTCCCTGTGTAGTCTATGCAGCAGTGTAGAGGACAGTACAGAGACTGATGCTGTCCCTGTGTAGTCTATGGAGCAGTGTAGAGGACAGTACAGAGACTGATGCTGTCCCTGTGTAGTCTGTGGAGCAGTGTAGAGGACAGTACAGAGACTGATGCTGTCCCTGTGTAGTCTATGGAGCAGTGTAGAGGACAGTACAGAGACTGATGCTGTCCCTGTGTAGTCTGTGGAGCAGTGTAGAGGACAGTACAGAGACTGATGCTGTCCCTGTGTAGTCTATGGAGCAGTGTAGAGGACAGTACAGAGACTGATGCTGTCCCTGTGTAGACTATGGAGCAGTGTAGAGGACAGTACAGAGACTGATGCTGTCCCTGTGTAGTCTATGGAGCAGTGTAGAGGACAGTACAGAGACTGATGCTGTCCCTGTGTAGTCTGTGGAGCAGTGTAGAGGACAGTACAGAGACTGATGCTGTCCCTGTGTAGTCTGTGGAGCAGTGTAGAGGACAGTACAGAGACTGATGCTGTCCCTGTGTAGTCTGTGGAGCAGTGTAGAGGACAGTACAGAGACTGATGCTGTCCCTGTGTAGTCTGTGGAGCAGTGTAGAGGACAGTACAGAGACTGATGCTGTCCCTGTGTAGTCTGTGGAGCAGTGTAGAGGACAGTACAGAGACTGATGCTGTCCCTGTGTAGTCTATGGAGCAGTGTAGAGGACAGTACAGAGACTGATGCTGTCCCTGTGTAGTCTATGGAGCAGTGTAGAGGACATCGTACGTCCGTCGTACGTCCGTCGTACGTCCGTCGTACGTCCGTTGTACGTCCGTCATACGTCCGTTGTACGTCCGTTGTACGTCCGTCGTACGTCCGTCGTACGTCCGTCATACGTCCGTCATACGTCCGTTGTACGTCCGTTGTACGTCCGTCGTACGTCCGTCATACGTCCGTTGTACGTCCGTCGTACGTCCGTCGTACGTCCGTTGTACGTCCGTCATACGTCCGTCATAAGCCGTACGTCGGTCATACGTCCGTTGTAAGTCCGTTGTACGTCCGTCGTACGTCCGTCGTACGTCCGTCGTACGTCCGTCATACGTCCGTCATACGTCGTACGTCCGTCATAAGCCGTACGTCCGTCGTACGTCTGTCATACGTCCGTCATACGTCCGTCATACGTCGTACGTCCGTCATAAGCCGTACGTCCGTCGTCCGTCCGTCGTACGTCCGTCGTACGTCCGTCGTACGTCCGTCGTGCGTCCGTCATACGTCCGTCATACGTCCGTCATACGTCTGTCATACGTCCGTCATACGTCTGTCATACGTCCGTCATACGTCTGTCATACGCACGTATAACACTAGTGTAAATATCACCATTGGTTAACATGGACAAAATGTGCGTGCGTCTGCTGCGCGTATAACGCGTACATGCTTTAACGTGTCATGTGTAAATTAGCAGTTATGCTAACTTCTTTGTCAGGGCCTTCGTTTGCCCCGCCACATCAAAGCCTTTTGGATGTAACTATTGCATATGGATATTGGATTTGTATTTAATTGATTTTTAAATTTTTTGTTGTTGTTGTAAATAGGGTGTTTTTGCTACTGCTTTGTGTTTTCTAGGTGCATATTTTTGTATGTCTTTTTATGAACAGCACTTTGGTCAATCTTAATTAGTGCTTTATAAATAAACTGGACTGCACTAGGCTGGATGTTGGATATGGATATTTGATATGGATGTTGGAATAGGCAGATGTAAGTTTTCCCCAACTTTTTGGTTGATCGTTAGTTTCCAAGTTATCCAAGTATTTATGCACCGAACTCTAACAATAACCCTAATCCTAACTCTCACCTTAATCCTACCTCTCACCCTAATTCTAACTCTCACCCTAATCCTAACTCTCACCCTAATCCTAACTCTCACCCTAATCCTAACTCTCACCCTAATCCTAACTCTCACCTTAATCCTAACTCTCACCCTAATCCTAACTCTGACCTTAATCCTAACTCTCACCCTAATCCTAACTCTGACCTTAATCCTAACTCTCACCCTAATCCTAACTCTGACCTTAATCCTAACTCTCACCCTAATCCTAACTCTGACCTTAATCCTAACTCTCACCCTAATCCTAACTCTGACCTTAATCCTAACTCTCAACCTAATCCTAACTCTCACCCTAATCCTAACTCTCACCTTAATCCTAACTCCCTAATCCTAACTCTCACCTTAATCCTAACTCTCACCCTAATCCTAACTCTGACCTTAATCCTAACTCTCACCTTAATCCTAACTCTCACCTTAATCCTAACTCTCACCTTAATCCTAACCTAACCCTAATCCTATCTCTCACCTTAATCCTATCTCTCACCCTAATCTAACCCTAATCTCACCCTAATCTCACCCTAATCTAACCATTGTAGTGTGTGTATTGTGCAGACGAGTGCGGAGTGAAGGATGTGTGAGTGTGATCTCTGTCAGTGTAACGTGGGAAGCTATGTACAGGTACATTAAAGACGCTCTTGGGGGCCCTCTGTGGGGGCCCTCTGTGGGGGCCCTCTGTGGCCCTGGCCCTCAGTCTGCTTCTTGGTTAGAGCCAGCCCTGGCATCACAACAGTAACATCCTCCACCTTCAGAGAGTGACTATAATCAAATGCATTTCTCAACACGACTGAGGAGTAAGACGCTGAAGGAGCGAGCGGCCATCTTTGGATCAGAGACACACTCGTTTGTGGGTAATTGCTTTGTGGATTGGGGTCACGTGTCTGTGGGTGGTCCCAGAGAGTCCCGGGTCAAACCAGACGTCCCCGAGTCTGACATGTTGTTCTGGGTTGTCATGACGACTGCGCCCCCTCATTAGTCACACCTGTCAGAGCAGTGTGCGGCGGTGTGTGTAGCTTCAGGTGCAGATGTACGTTATACTGACGTGTGTGTGTTTGTGTGTGTTTGTGTTTGCTCCACAGTCAATCTGCTGGACACCACCACCTTCACCGGAGACTGGGGCTGGGCGTCGTACCCTGCACATGGGGTAAGCACACACACACACACACACACACACACACACACACACACACACACGCACACAAACAAACATACACACATACACACACACACACACACCCACATTTACACACACACTCACACACACACATACACATGCACACAAACAAACATACACACATACACACACACACACACACACACACACACATACATACATACACACACACACACACACATATACACACACACATACACACATACACACACACACATACACACACACACATACACGTTTTTGTTACCTGGTGGGTCCCTTTGACAGGGCCGTTCAGAATGGGACCCATAGACATAATCTTTTTTTACTGGGACTACTTTAAGTAATACAAAACAGTCAATAGAAACCAAACAACTATTTTAAAGGAATTTTATTTTAGATTTTGTTTTCGAATTGCAGTGATTCTATTTTTGACATAGAATTTAATGCCACTCCATGTCCGATGTCTAAGGTCATCTGGTGAGGCATTAATGCAGGCCAGGCAGTGAGACTTCCCAGGGACCTTTCCAGTCTGTATGAAAGGTGTCATGGTCTTCTCCACAGCCTTCACCTCAGATGCAGACCATGGCTTTCTTACACGTTCTAGGGAGAGAAATAAAAATATATTAGCAATATACACTCCCAGGGTGAGGACCAAGCAGCCTGGCTGTAATCCCCCACCTGGTACACTTACCAGAAGGGGCACTGCCACTACCATGGGGTGCATCTGGATGAATGGTTGAAGGTTCTCCGCTTGAAGTTTCTTTTAGCCCGTCCGTTTGTGAGAGGATCTCTACTGCTCTCCCTGTCGCACAGAAAATAAAAATACAAGTGGCCTTTAGGGGAAAAAAATCATACATATTTTAATAATATCAAGAATTACCTTCAGGCTCAATTTGTATCTGGTCGAGGCTCTTTCCTTCGAATTCCGTCACTCTTCCCTGCTCCATGGCCATCAACACTTTGCTGATTTTGGCCAGCTCCAGTGTCCCCTCTGGTAGTCTGTAATATTGCCTGTGGATGCGAATGTCATGGCCGAGGAAGTTGGCAAGTATGTCCATCTCATTCTCTTTCATATTGAGAACTGTAGACATAGTAGCTATGTGCTTTCTAAGTTTGGTTGAGGATAGCATCTCTGGATGCACCGCACCACATTCTTTGGCTACCTGGCGTAGGGAGTCTGATCCCCTGATGTGGGTGTCTGCGCCCGGGCGGGAAAAGAAGTATGGGTTATGGTCAGAGATGGAACAGGCCCTTCTGTTCTCCACCAGCACCTCCATCGAAGCAATCATTTCAGGAGTCAAAAGAACCGGCACTTTCCGACTTCTTTTCCCTTTAATTTCAATGCGTTGAAAATGCTGACACAGCTTTTTCTCAAGTTGGGACAGTCCCAGAGCAATGTCAGAATGGATCCCAGTCTTACTTCTTAAGGTAAAGGCTGTCAGTGGCATCTTTGAAACCTCACCTTCCCTTCTTCGATTGAAAATGATGACCTCACAAAGAGTCAAAACTGCCAGTTTAGACCAATGCTTAGACGTTGGCTCACTTATTAGGGTTTGCACATATTCAGGTCGACATACCTCAATATGTGCATGCATGGCTCTAACGTCCTCAGTCAGAGGGAGCAGGTCCGGAGTGTTCCACTTGGCTTGCCGGAGGGTCTGTAGGGCAGCAGAAGAAACACAGACGTCCCACCTCTTCTCAAAAAGCAGCCGGCTTCGTTGGAGGTTTTTAATAAATAGTTCATCAACACAATGCTCCATTTTTGAGTCACATTCAAGAATATCTGCTAGCTTTCTGAGGCTATGGCCGAGTTTGAGGGCCAAGGATGGAGTCTTGTATTGATTTGTTTCCTCATCATATCCAGCCACAGACCTGACTGCATCAATCACATGGTTAAAGTTGGAAGGAATAAAGAAATCCTTCATTGTTTTCAGTTTCCCTGCGGTTTTTGCTTCGTTAATTAACCTACCGACTTCTCTCATTTTCTGCCTAATGTAATCATGCTTAGTCTTATCATGCCCGTGTTTTAAGTACAGGTGCTCTCCGAGTCTCAGAATCCCCTTTTCTGCTTTGACAACACCCGTGACCTCATCCTGATGCATTGCCGAAATTAAAGACCACAGCTTTTTGCTGATGCCCTCCGGTACAGGCTGGGCTAGGGAGCAGAGGGACTGGACCCTACTTCTACCTGGTTTAGCCTGGGCATCTTTCTGTGAAAGCCGGCACCTGGCCACATGCCTCCACAGCGACTTTCGCTTAAGCAATGCCCCACAGTCTATACAGTGCAAAAACTCACTGGATTTAACTGGGGAATTTGGCTGTTTAGCTGGGACTAAAGTTCCAATGCCGGCCTTTAAAACCTCAAAATTGTGCTCACGGTTTCCACTATTCCTGATCAAATCAAACTGAAGTTTACGTGCTTTAGATTTCACAGGTAGAGCCAATGCTCTGGCTACGTCACTTTCATTTCCATGTTTTCTAGTCAAATGACGGGACATTTTGTGGCAGGACATTGAACAGTAGAGGCAGAAGTGTCTCTTGCTGTATACTCGCCCCCCATTTTTCTTCTTTTGCAGCTGCATGATAACAATCTTATTTGCCTTTGGTTCGTCACTTTCCGAGTCTTGAAGAAAAGTGTTTTTGATTTTTCTTTTTCCATACTTTTTTACAGGTTTCTTCTTGACAGTTTAAATCGTCAGAATCTGAGTCGACTTCATCAATTAGGGACTCTTGACTAAGCTGCACAAACAACAAATAATTTGTAATCATTCTATATAACAATTTGAAGTCATGACTTGTAGTCAGCACTTACCAGTGGTTTGTAAGCGTGCGCTTCAGTGTGCTCCTCCATGATTTCTTGCAGCCTAATGAACCACACACTTGCACCTTTTTCTAGCCTGACACCTGATTTCCTCTGTTGTGCTGCTCCATGATTGGCTCCAGCCTGCTGGACTGAAATTGCCCCAGTGTGCCCCTCCTTGATATCCCGCAACCCACCACCAGGGTTCCGACACAGAACACACTTTTTTCAGGAAAGTAAACCTCCAGGGGTCCTTTCCATATTTTTACAGAGACTGCATAAGGACCGTTAGAAAAGCATTACCCATTGATTATTAAGCTTGGACCAGTGGGGTCCGGTGTTCGGGCCCCACCACGTAAAACCAGTCCCCATGACGTGAGTGGAATCTCAGGTTATGGAACCCACCAGGAGTTGAAAACAAGTGCACACACACATACATACACACATACACACATACACACACATACACACACACACACACACACACACACATACACACATACACATACATACACACATACACATACACATGCACACAAACAAACATACACACATACACACACACACACATACATACACACATACACACACACACATACATACACATACACACACACATACACACACACACATACATACACATACATACACACACAGACAGCATTAGTCATGTCTCGACCTGATCTTGTTGCTTTGTTTGAAAGTTCCTCAGAAGCTTTGAAAACATTATTAAACCACTGTTTTTGAGTTTTTAAAATACTCCAAAGACATGACCTGACCTAGGACTGTCCTGCCCGGGCCTTATCCATCCGTACTCTCGGTCTATCATCATGTCCTGCAGGTAACGTCTGGGTCTGGTCCCTGTGTTTGCGATTACAATTGGTCGAGTTCCATCCGACCAATCAGAGAGCGCGGGAGGCGGGTGTTGTAGTTAGATGTGGGTGACGTCAAGAGTTTGTGCTGAACGGGCAAGTTGTAGTTTGGAGAAGAATGGGATAGTAAAGTATTCTGGTCTGGTTCTATCAAGAAACTGAAGAGGCAGGACCGTGATGAGACCGTGATGAGGCAGGACCGTGATGAGGCAGGACCGTGATGAGACCGTGATGAGGCAGGACCGTGATGAGGCAGGACCATGATGGGACCGTGATGAGACTGGACCGTGATGAGGCAGGACCGTGATGAGACCGTGATGAGGCAGGACCGTGATGAGACAGGACCGTGATGAGGCAGGACCATGATGAGACTGTGATGAGGCAGGACCGTGCTGAAACCGTGATGAGACAGGACCGTGATGAGGCAGGACCATGATGAGACCGTGATGAGACTGGACCGTGATGAGGCAGGACCATGATGAGACTGTGATGAGGCAGGACCGTGCTGAAACCGTGATGAGACAGGACCGTGATGAGGCCGGACCATGATGAGGCCGGACCGTGATGAGACAGGACCGTGATGAGGCAGGACCATGATGAGGCAGGACCATGATGAGGCCGGACCGTGATGAGACAGGACCGTGATGAGGCAGGACCATGATGAGGCAGGACCATGATGAGACCGTGATGAGGCAGGACCGTGATGAGACTGGACCGTGATGAGACTGGACCGTGATGAGGCAGGACCATGATGAGGCAGGACCATGATGAGGCAGGACCATGATGAGACCGTGATGAGGCAGGACCATGATGAGACCGTGATGAGGCAGGACCGTGATGAGACCGTGATGAGACCGTGATGAGACAGGACCGTGATGAGGCAGGACCATGATGAGTCAGGACCATGATGAGGCCGGACCGTGATGAGACAGGACCGTGATGAGGCAGGACCATGATGAGACCGTGATGAGGCAGGACCGTGATGAGACCGTGATGAGACAGGACCGTGATGAGACCGTGATGAGGCAGGACCGTGATGAGGCAGGACCATGATGAGACCGTGATGAGGCAGGACCGTGATGAGACTGGACCGTGATGAGACCGTGATGAGGCAGGACCGTGATGAGACCGTGATGAGACAGGACCGTGATGAGGCAGGACCATGATGAGACCGTGATGAGGCAGGACCGTGATGAGACCGTGATGAGGCAGGACCGTGATGAGGCAGGACCATGATGAGACCGTGATGAGGCAGGACCGTGATGAGACTGGACCGTGATGAGACCGTGATGAGACTGGACCGTGATGAGACCGTGATGACTTTACTTTGGGCCGACAGCACTGATTGAAAAAATGGTTTTGACTGCATTTCAAATGTCTGCCTACACTAATTAAAGTAAACTGGTTTCTAGTCATTCTGATCTCTACAACAAGGTAACAGTAGAGCTGAAGTTGGCTGGATGACACTGAACTGGTGGTTATGACCATAAAGACTACATTAAGTCAGCTGCAGAGGGCCAAATAACATGATGGCTGCACATGGGCCTTAGTTTGACCATGCCTGGCTTAAATCCACCCTGGAGCGGGTTTTACAGTAATATAACCAATTTTGCAATCTGGCATTTGCTTAATATGACTTTTTAAAGACTTTTTCTGTTGGAACACAGACTGTTTATGGGAGAAAAATGACCCAGATTTAATCAAAGGCCGATAAAAAGTGTCCCCTTCATCAGGAAAGCAGTGTAAGGAAACACCAACTTTACTTTGGACACGATTCCCTTTAAAGGCTCCAAGTGGAAGAACACGTTGCTGATTAATGATCTAAATTGCAATATTCGTCTGGGTCGGTTACTAATTGCACTTTTCCCACCGTGGGACGAACAAAACATCTCTTCATCTTTATAGTAATTGCAGGAGGAGAACATGCATCATATGACATAACCTCCTTTTTAATCTCCTTATTTCTCTCTCCAACTGAAGTGCGTCTTTATGAGTCATTAGTCTGCCGTAATTATTTTATATTGAGTTAATATGCAGAGCTCTGTATGCGGCTCAGACACACACACACACACACAGACACACACACACACACACACACACACACACACACACACCTGCTCCAAACATCTCCCTCGGAAACCAGCTCCGTCAGGTCTTCACACCGAGCAGGAAGTGGTGAGTGAGTTGTAAAGGTGACACCGCAGTCTAATTACACGCTCTCCCGTTCGGCGAGACGTCTTCTCGCAACGATCAACTAATTCAGACATCAGTTCCGACCCTTTTCCCTGAGACTCGGGCGGTGTTTTGAGCTCGCGGCCCCAGGAGGAGACACGGCCGCGGGAGATGAAAGCCTGAGGAGGAGGTGACAGCCAGGGCACGCCGCTCGGCCACATTAGCATATTCTAATGCCACCGATAATGCCCGCGGTGATGAATGAGAACCCCCGCTGTGATCTTTATGGCGTCGGTGCACCGCTGGGTCCTCGCTCCCCCGGCTGTCACTGAAGACGGTGTAGAAACATTTTACCTCTGCCCAGTCTGCGCCGGGATTAGAACAGAGAGAGAGGAGAGAGACGGGATCAGAACAGAGACAGAGAGACGGGATCAGAACACAGAGGAGAGAGACGGGATCAGAACAGAGACAGAGGAGAGAGACGGGATCAGAACACAGACAGAGGAGAGAGACGGGATCAGAACAGAGACAGAGGAGAGAGACGGGATCAGAACAGAGACAGAAAGACGGGATCAGAACACAGACAGAGAGACGGGATCAGAACACAGACAGAGAGACGGGATCAGAACACAGACAGAGAGACGGGATCAGAACACAGAGGAGAGAGACGGGATCAGAACACAGACAGAGAGACGGGATCAGAACACAGACAGAGAGACGGGATCAGAACACAGAGGAGAGAGACGGGATCAGAACACAGACAGAGAGACGGGATCAGAACACAGAGGAGAGAGACGGGATCAGAACACAGACAGAGACGGGATCAGATCAGATTCAGATTCATTTATTTGCCATTTGCAGTAAAACCACATTGGGATCAGAACATTAGTTTACCTCTTGAAAACCTCTTTACAGGATGGTCCAAAAGTGGCTCTTGGTCCAAAAGTGGCTCTTGGTCCAAAAGTGGTTCTTGGTCCAAAAGTGGTTCTTGGTCCAAAAGCGGTTCTTGGTCCAAAAGTGGTTCTTGGTCCAAAAGTGGTTCTTGGTCCAAAAGTGGGTCTTGGTTCAAAAGTGGTTCTTGGTCCAAAAGTGGCTCTTGGTCCAAAAGTGGCTCTTGGTCCAAAATTGGTTCTTGGTCCAAAAGTGGCTCTTGGTCCAAAAGTGGCTCTTGGTCCAAAAGTGGTTCTTGGTCCAAAAGTGGTTCTTGGTCCAAAAGTGGTTCTTGGTCCAAAAGTGGTTCTTGGTCCAAAAGTGGTTCTTGGTCCAAAAGTGGGTCTTGGTTCAAAAGTGGTTCTTGGTCCAAAAGTGGCTCTTGGTCCAAAAGTGGCTCTTGGTCCAAAATTGGTTCTTGGTCCAAAAGTGGCTCTTGGTCCAAAAGTGGCTCTTGGTCCAAAAGTGGTTCTTGGTCCAAAAGTAGCTCTTGGTCCAAAGTGGTTCTTGGTCCAAAAGTGGCTCTTGGTCCAAAAGTGGCTCTTGGTCCAAAAGTGGCTCTTGGTCCAAAAGTGGTTCTTGGTCCAAAAGTGGGTCTTGGTCCTAAAGTGGCTCTTGGTCCAAAAGTGGTTCTTGGTCCAAAAGTGGTTCTTGGTCCAAAAGTGGTTCTTGGTCCAAAAGTGGTTCTTGGTCCAAAAGTGGTTCTTGGTCCAAAAGTGGGTCTTGGTTCAAAAGTGGTTCTTGGTCCAAAAGTGGCTCTTGGTCCAAAAGTGGCTCTTGGTCCAAAATTGGTTCTTGGTCCAAAAGTGGCTCTTGGTCCAAAAGTGGTTCTTGGTCCAAAAGTGGTTCTTGGTCCAAAAGTGGGTCTTGGTTCAAAAGTGGTTCTTGGTCCAAAAGTGGGTCTTGGTCTAAAAGTGGTTCTTGGTCTAAAAGTGGTTCTTAGTCCAAAAGTGGTTCTTGGTCCAAAAGTGGTTCTTGGTCCAAGAGTGGGTCTTGGTCTAAAAGTGGTTCTTGGTCCAAAAGTGGTTCTTGGTCCAAAAGTGGGTCTTGGTCCAAAAGTGGTTCTTGGTCCAAAAGTGGGTCTTGGTCTAAAAGTGGCTCTTGGTCCAAAAGTGGCTCTTGGTCTAAAAGTGGTTCTTGGTCCAAAAGTGGTTCTTGGTCCAAAAGTGGGTCTTGGTCCAAGAGTGGGTCTTGGTCCAAGAGTGGCTCTTGGTCCAAAAGTGGCTCTTGGTCCAAAAGTGGCTCTTGGTTCAAAAGTGGTTCTTGGTCCAAAAGTGGGTCTTGGTCCAAAAGTGGCTCTTGGTCCAAAAGTGGTTCTTGGTCCAAAAGTGGTTCTTGGTCAAAAAGTGGTTCTTGGTCCAAAAGTGGCCCTTGGTCCTCTTGGTTCCAGATGCTGTCTGAGGAGAGTATATATATTTTTGGACCAGTCTAGTTTAGTCGCTGTGGACTTTAGAATGCACTCGTTAAATGAATGAGGCTAGTGTAGCTAACACATGCGCAAATGTGTTTTTTCACATTTTCCAGCCCAGGCGGCCATTTTGAAAAACCCACAGAAGCCAAAAGTGATGTCACATTAGTTTGAACGGTGGAGATAGCATGAGATGTTAGCATCTTTGTTAGCTAAGAATCCACACTTAATTTTCATTGGCTTTACCCCAGTACTTGACCGAGACTATGTGGAAAGACTATGTGGAAAGACTATGTGGAAAGACTATGTGGAAAGACTATGTGGAAAGACTATGTGGAAAGACTATGTGAAAAGACTATGTGGAAAGACTATGTAGAAAGACCATGTGAAAAGACTATGTGGAAAGACTATGTGGAAAGACTATGTGGAAAGACTATGTGGAAAGACTATGTGGAAAGACCTTGTGGAAAGACCTTGTGGAAAGACTATGTGGAAAGATTATGTGGAAAGACTATGTGGAAAGACTATGTGGAAAGACTATGTGGAAAGACTATGTGGAAAGACTATGTGGAAAGACTATGTGGAAAGACTATGTGGAAAGACTATGTAGAAAGACTATGTGAAAAGACTATGTGGAAAGACTATGTAGAAAGACTATGTGAAAAGACTATGTGGAAAGACTATGTGGAAAGACTATGTGGAAAGACTATGTGGAAAGACTATGTGGAAAGACTATGTTGGAAAGACTATGTGAAAAGACTATGTGGAAAGACTATGTGGAAAGACTATGTAGAAAGACTATGTGAAAAGACTATGTGACTATGTAGAAAGACTATGTAGAAAAGACTATGTGAAAAAGAAAGACTATGTGGAAAGACTATGTGGAAAGACTATGTGGAAAGACTATGTGGAAAGACTATGTGGAAAGACTATGTGGAAAGACTATGTGGAAAGACTATGTGGAAAGACTATGTGGAAAGACTATGTGGAAAGACTATGTGGAAAGACTATGTGGAAAGACTATGTGGAAAGACTATGTGGAAAGACTATGTGGAAAGACTATGTGGAAAGACTATGTGGAAAGACTATGTGGAAAGACTATGTGGAAAGACTATGTGGAAAGACTATGTGGAAAGACTACTATGTGGAAAGACTATGTGGAAAGACTATGTGGAAAGACTATGTGGAAAGACTATGTGGAAAGACTATGTAGAAAGACCATGTGAAAAGACTATGTGTGGAAAGACTATGTGAAAAGACTATGTGGAAAGACTATGTAGAAAGACCATGTGAAAAGACTATGTGGAAAGACTATGTGAAAGACTATGTGGAAAGACTATGTGGAAAGACTATGTGGAAAGACCTTGTGGAAAGACCTTGTGGAAAGACTATGTGGAAAGATTATGTGGAAAGACTATGTGGAAAGACTATGTGGAAAGACTATGTGGAAAGACTATGTGGAAAGACTATGTGGAAAGACTATGTTGGAAAGACTATGTGGAAAGACTATGTAGAAAGACTATGTGTGAAAAGAACTATGTGGAAAGACTATGTAGAAAGACTATGTGAAAAGACTATGTGGAAAGACTATGTGGAAAGACTATGTGGAAAGACTATGTGGAAAGACTATGTGGAAAGACTATGTGGAAAGACTATGTAGAAAGACTATGTGGGAAAGACTATGTGGAAAGACTATGTGGAAAGACTATGTGGAAAGACTATGTGGAAAGATATGTGGAAAGACTATGTGGAAAGACTATGTGGAAAGACTATGTGGAAAGACTATGTGGAAAGACTATGTGGAAAGCTGATATAAGTTTCTTTTCTGTCGACAGCGCCAAAGAGCAAGAGGGCTGTGAATTAATAATGTGCTGCTGTTGTTCTCGCTGCGGACACCATTTTGTCTGCTCTTGTCGGCCCTGAACTCTGAGAGAGGCTCAGAATGGATTGTTTATGTTGCAAGAGTCAACTCCGTTTGCTTCTGGAGCAGTCATTTTGACGGCGACTCACACCTGCGACACCAGGGCTCTTCCACCGAGTTAGATCCAGGGTCATGACGGTTTGTACTTCTGTGGGAAGTCTTCGGAAACTAAGGATACACTGCAAAAAATGAAACAATATGAGGTAGTACTTGCTTTATCTTAATCTGAGAGACCAGAGAGACACCAGAGCGAGACCCGAGAGAGACCAGAGAGAGAGAGACCAGAGAGAGACCAGAGAGAGACCAGAGCGAGACCCGAGAGAGACCAGAGAGAGAGAGACCAGAGAGAGACCAGAGAGAGACCAGAGAGAGACCAGAGAGAGAGACCAGAGAGAGACACCAGAGAGAGACCCGCGAGAGAGATCCAGAGAGAGAGGACCAGAGAGAGACCAGAGAGACACCAGAGAGAGAAACCAGAGAGAGACCCGAGAGAGAGAGACCAGAGAGAGAGACCAGAGAGAGACCAGAGAGAGAGACCAGAGAGAGAGAGACCAGAGCGAGACCAGATAAGAGAGACCAGAGAGAGACCAGAGAGAGAAACCAGAGAGAGACCAGAGAGATACCAGAGAGAGAGACCAGAGAGAGAGACCAGAGAGAGAGACCAGAGAGAGACCTAGAGAGAGAGACCAGAGAGAGAGACCAGAGAGAGACCAGAGAGAGAGACCAGAGAGAGACCAGAGAGAGAGACCAGAGAGAGAGGGGACCAGAGAGAGAGACCAGAGAGAGACCAGAGAGAGACCAGAGAGAGACCAGAGAGAGACCAGAGAGAGAGAGAGACCAGAGAGAGACCAGAGAGAGAGACCAGGAGAGAGAGACCAGAGAGAGACCAGAGAGAGACCAGAGAGACCAGAGAGGACCAGAGAGAGACCAGAGAGAGACCAGAGAGAGACCAGAGAGAGAGA